CATGAATAGGCCATACGTCGACCAATTTGCTTGTATAGAAGGTTGGTTCAAAGGGTCTCTTCAAGCTTGAGGTCATTTCTAGGAACTACAGAGGTTGAGGCAAGTATATTTCATCTGTTTATAGTTGCATAAACTATGTTCATGTTCATTTTATAGCTGCAATATATTTTCATGTCTCAAACCTCATAGATTGTGGATTTTCTGGTGCAATTGTTTCTGATCTGAGCCTATCCAGTAGATATCTTGTTATGCATTGATTGTATATCATCTGAGTATGATTGTATTGATGATTTGAGCTGTTCAAGTTGAGATTTTCCTAGACAAGTGACCATAATAACTTTTGGTCCTTCATATCTTAGGAGTTAGGGTTTCAAGCAATTTTTGAGCTGGTTGAGTACTGAAAATGTTATACCTTGCCATTCTTATTGTGAACATCTATTGAACATGTGTATTTAGCTGAACTAAGGCTGTGGGAACCAAGCTTCGAGATGTATTGTCTTGAAATACCAGTTTTACCCTTGAGACCTTGATAACTAGAGGTTTACAAGTGTCTAAGCTTTTGATTTGTGATTCATCTGTTGATATCTTGCTATGTACATCTTGATTATTATCTAAGCAAGTATAATATGATATTTGGGAGTTGTGTAACCTATTGAATGGGCTGAGTTGTGGTTATTATTGAGTTCCACATTTGAAACCAAGACACAAACGGTTTTCTATAGAAATTTAGTCCTATTGTGTACTAAATGATATACCTTGTTGTTCCTTGTGAGTTTTTCTCTTGAGCAAGTGTATTAAGTTAATTAAAGATTGTGTGGACTAAGCTCAGGTTTGAATTGAAACTGCATTCAGATTTAAGTACTCAAACCAAGTCAAAAGAGGTTTGTCTGTTGAATCAAGCCTGGTGCTAATCTATTGTTGATGCAACTTGCCATTCACTTTGTGATTATCATTTGAGCAAGTTTATTTAGTTGATTCAAGGCTGAGGACTATGTATGGGTTCAAATTGAAGCTGTACTGAAGATTTTCATCTCAGACCTAAGATTACTATAGAAGCTGAACTAGGGTTTGATTTATTTCCAGCTTTGAGCTGTATATTCACCCTTATCATTTGTAACGAACATTGTATGTTTGTTGAACATCTTATGTAATGTATGTGAAAAATTATGAGAGTTTATTTGGTCTAAGCAGGGGTGCTTAGGATATGGAGAGTGCTATGTGCAAAAAAGTGAGCAAAGAATATTGAGTATGCGCAAAACTTTCAGGCATGCAAAAAGTGTCAATTATAAATAAGTATTTGCGAGTTTTTGGGATCAATAATTTAATTTTCTGTAAAGAATAAAATAAATATTTTTCTTACCATTTAAAATGAGAAAAAAAAAAAAAAAAATTTCTTCTCAGTTAGCAGAATTTCGTGTTGATAATGTGTTCTAAATATAATCAAATATAGAAGAATAGATATTCAAAATATAAAATGAAGAGATCTAAGGAGAAAAGAGTACACCGACTCTTATTAGCTTTCTGTCAAAAGAATTTGAAGCCAAAGAAAATTAACAATAAGAGATAGTGTTTCTTTTCTTTCATTGTGCTCTTTATTAGTTGGGTTAATTACACTCACACTTGAAGTTTGCTATAATGACAGCTACATGATAATTAGCTTATTTACAAGCAATGACTAGGTTATTTTCAAACAATGACACCCCGTCATACTTTGAAGCCAAGCATAGCCTTAAAAGAGGTGAAATGTCTATTTTACCTTTTAATATTTTATTTATATTTTGATCTAAAATATCATAACCATTAGGTGACCAAAATACCCTTCTTGAAAAAAATAAACAAAATTAACCCATATATCCTACTTTCTCTCTCTAAGCTCTCAATCTCCTCAATCGCCGCCGCCACCACCACTACCACCACCCACCACCCACCACCCATTCTCTCTTCACTCATCGCCACCACCGTTCACCCTTTATGTGATTCCTGCAAATAAAGCAAAAACGGCTTCTATCAAAAAAAAAAAAAAAAAATTATATGTATGCATTTATATATACACACAAACATACATATATACAGTGACCACCATCACCATGGCCACTCCCACCTCCTCCACCGTGCCCATCTTCTATCCACCCTTACACTACCCATCATCACCATAACCCACTCCTTATCTCCCCCTCTCCACTATAATCCACCCTAAATCGCTGTCGCCGGCTTTGCGCAGCACCACTGCCTCCATCCTCCTCCTCCTCGGTGTCACCGGCCAATTGCGGATTTTGTTGTCAATTCCAGCAGATCTTATTGTTTTCTTACTTGGGTTGATTTTGTGTTTTCTTAGTGATCACTACTATTTTGGGAGTCATAAAGAAATATCGCTAATCGAAAATTTTGGATATTGGTGGCCCAAGTTGTGGCGGTGGCGGTGGAGTAATCAAGCGTATCCTATGGAATTGAAGATCACAGATGAATGTCTGTCTCCAACTTTCAGCCATTGGGTTTTGCAATTGGGTGCTAAGATTATTGATTTCCTAGGCGACTCGGCCACTGTTGTTTTCGGCATTCAGATGCAGTACGTTCCTGGCGGGGAGTGGGTGATTTTTTTTGGATCTTCTTTCTGTATGTATTATATATTTAAGTATCCTTTTCTTTGTGTAGTTATATATATATACACACACACACACTATATAATGCAATTGTATGTATTATATGTATATATAAGAGTTGATATGTATACCCCAAATGCCACTCACCATCGCCTCCTTCACCACCTTCACGCAGGGCATTTTTTATTATTATTTTTTGAATCAATGGGTTATGGATTTTGCAGAGATGATAATGTTGAAGGTTGGTGATAAGAGTCTATTTATGTGGCTAAAGAAGCAGGGTATGTATTAGGCTTGAGATTTAATTACATGCAATGGTATCACTTCTTGGAGTTGGAACTTGATATGTTTTATCTCTCTCTCTCTCTCACACACACACAGACACACACACACACACATATTGCTTCTGGTTCTTTGTTTTTGTGGATTCATTGAACCGAAATCAAGTTGATTTTTGGGCACAGAGTGTGTATATATATATAGAGAGAGAAAGTATAGAGGGTTAGTTTTGTCCATTAAAATAAGAGTTAATTACACTCACACTCTCTAAGGTTTGTTCTATTGACAGCCATATGAAAGTTGGTCACGTTTTTAAGCACTCACACCCCTTGTAATAAATTGCAGCCAAACAGTTCCTAAAAAAGTAGGAAAAGACATTATTACCCTTTAAAAAAATAATAATCCTTGATTAAAAATATGAGAGTATTTAAATGGTCACGTTTTTTAGCACTCACACCCCTTGTAATAAATTGCAGCCAAACAGTTCCTAAAAAAATAGGAAAAGACATTATTACCCTTTAAAAAAATAATAATCCTTGATTAAAAATATGAGAGTATTTAAATGACTCAAATACCTCTCTTTCCCCTCTTTCTTCACACACTGTATTTTATACATTTACAGACACACATAAATATAATATGTTGGATCCCTACCGCCTCCGCCGGCATTTTCTGGGTTTGGTCCTCTTCGGCTCCGGCGTGTTGGCATTCGCACCTCGCCGGCTATCGCTTTTCACCTTTCCTGCCACCACATCGCCACCCATTTGAACCCACAACAATCCCAATCAAACCCATGACGATCTCAAATCATAGCCACCACTCTCTCTCTTTAAATTGAAAATTAGAAGCAAATCAGAGCTGCAAGTATCATTTTGGTCTTGCGTACTGTGTTTGTCATCGAAATCTGACCAGCTCGATCGGAATCCGCCGGGAATGTACTGCGGCTGGACTTGTAATTTTTTTTTTTTTTTGGGAGCTTTTCTCACCTACAGGTCTCCTAACAATAAATTGAGGCTTGGCACCAAGACCATTCGCTGGAGAACAAGAATTGAAGACGAGGTGACCCTACATGGTTTTGTACAAATTTTGTTTTGGTTTTGACAATAACCCATAGTTTTATCAGATACGCACCTCCAATATGGTTTATGTATATATTATTATATTTTTAATATAACAAATTTGGATTGGTGTTGTGTGAATCAAATATCACACACAAAAAAAAAAAAAATCACATTGCAAGTGGTATTGTCCCACTTTCCTCTTTTCATATTACATTATATTATACTGAATTTAATATTACTAGTACTAACCTCCATTCACATGAACCACCACTTCCATACATGTATGTGTGTGTGTGTATATATATATTACAGTTATATATAATTAATTATAATTTTTTTTTTTTTTGGCATGAAAGGATAGTTTAGTTAAATAAATTGAGTTGTAAAGGTTAAAAAGGTAATTTCATAGTCCAAATAGGTCAACTATCAAGTCAAAGGACAATAATGTCAATTCATCATGTGCAGAAGATCAGAGGGGTGTATTTGTTAACTTTATGAAACTTGAGGGGTGGTCATTGTTAAAAAATAGATCAACTTTTATTTGGTTGTCAATAGGGCAAACCTTAGGGGGTTTGAGTGTAATTAACCCTTAAAATAATTAGGAAGGTTTAAATGGTAATTTCATTATTCAAATTGGTCATTCACGAGTCAAAGAGTAATATGATCAATTTACCTTGTGTCAGAGGTGATAGGGGTGTTATTGTTAATTTTATCAAACTTGAAGGGGTGTTATTGTTAAAAAATGGATCAACTTTCATCTTAGGGCAAGCTTTAAGTCTAATTAACCCTTAATTAACCCTTATTAGTTTCATTAGTCACCTATTATTAAGAGTTCCAATAAAAATAATTTTGCCACCAAGGACAACATAAAGTCTTTACATGATATAACTAATCACATTTGCTGTATCTTTTTTTTTTTTTTTGTTTTTTTATCATACATTTGCTGTATAACATTTCTACTCTTTCCACCAAATTTCTATGGGTGGACCCCATAAACAACATGTTTGAATTTTATTGTAAAGACTAAAGACAGTTGGTTTCCGCGTTGCGACCACCCAAGTCCAATTTTTGTTGACTAGCTGTAGCTAGTGCGACTAATATACACATTCTCAAGTGAACAGAATGGTAGTAGTCAAGAGTTGAATCATAACTATAGTTCATCAGATCTTTCCGAGAGGTCCAAAAAATTGAGATGACAGACACTGCGGCAGATTTTCTGTTGGAGTACTTGATGCAGCTCATAAACTGTGACAACAAATTGATTGTAAAAGTATACGAGGCCAAACTCATTGAGAAGGATCAAATCGAATGGGTTTATGAGGCGATGCAGTTCCTGAGGATATTTCTCAAGGATGCAGAGGACATGCGAAACAAGCATGACAAGAAAAAGGTGCAAGAAGTTGTGGCAAAAATTAGAGATGTGATTCATGAGGTTGAAGTTATCATAGATTCGTGCCTACTCGATGCTGCTGTCACACCGGAGGACACAGAAAATTTCGAATTTCAAGTGTCGAGGAGGACACACAAAATTTCGAATTTGGATGCTGCTATCACACTGGAGGAGGACACAGCAAATTTCGAATTTCAAGTTTCTGAGGAAACATTGGCACGGGATGAGGAAACACTACACGTAACTATGGATTTGGGACCTATAGAAAAACAGGTATGTATTTGCAAATTCATTTCCCAGATGATGATGAAAATCCGGATATTCGTCTCCCAAATGTTGACGACGAAAGCCAAATTGTGTCCACAAGACTTGGAAATTCGACCTGATCCCGAATTGCGTCCAGAAGAGTTGGAAATTCGATCTGATCATAAATTGTGTCCACAAGACTTGGAAATTCGACCTGATCCCGAATTGCGTCCAGAAGAGTTGGAAATTCGATCTGATCATGTTAGGTTCGACAAAATTCATCGCCTGAAATTTCTTGAATTCAATTATTCTCATGATGAGGAAATTCATCGCCTCAATCTTAATGACTGTCAGTATGATGACAATTTTTTGGTGCAGAACAATGAAAGTGAGGAAAATATTTTTCCTAGCTTTGATATTTTTTGGACAGGAATTAAGTCTCTCGTCGCTGATAAAATTCATCATGGCTTAGAGGGGGTCATAGAAGAGATTAAGGTTATTAAGGAAAAAGTGATGAGGATTTACGAGAAGAAGATGTACGTCTTTGGAGCCTTTCAAATTGAGAAGTCTTCTCGTCGACGTCCAGTAAGAGCCACCAGCCACACAGTGGAGAGAGAAATCGTAGTTGGATTGGAGGACGAAACAACCGCGATCATTAATTTGCTTACTGAAGGGCATGAAAAGCAGTTAAAGGTTATTCCAATCGTCGGGATGCCTGGACTCGGTAAGACAACTCTAGCCACAAGACTGTACAATGATTCTCTCATAGTCTATCACTTTTATGTTCGTGCATGGACTTCTGTGTCTCAAGTATACCATAAGAGAGATTTGTTGCTTAACATTTTAAATTCTGCAAACATTCATCTTGCTTGTGACAAATTAGGCGATGAAAAATTAGGTGAAGCGTTGTACAGACACCTAAAGGGTAATAGATATCTCATTGTCATGGATGACATTTGGAATATCAGTGCTTGGAATGATTTAAAAAGATACTTGCCAAATGACAACAATGGTAGTAGAATTATTTTCACTACTCGGCTTGGAGATGTGGCCGTGTCTTTGCATGCTAAACCTCACCATTTGCGGTTTCTAAATGAAGATGAAAGTTGGGATCTACTACGACAGAAGACATTTCTGGATGAAGATTGTCCTCCAGATTTGACAGAAATAGGAAGAAGAATTGCAAAAAAATGCGGAGGACTGCCACTTGCAATTGTTGTTGTATCAGGAGTACTTCTCGCAAAGAATAACAAGACGCAAGACTGGTGGAGGCATATTGCTGAAAGTTTAAGTTCATATATTGTTAGTGACCCGAAACGATACATGGACACATTAGCATTGAGTTACAACTACTTGCCTAATCACTTGAAATCATGCTTCCTCTATTTCGGAGCATTCCCGGAAGATTATGAAATCCCAGCGTGGCAGTTGATATGGTTATGGATTGGCGAGGGACTTATAAGGCAAAATGAGTCAAAAGGCTTGGAGGATGTGGCAGAGGATAACTTGATGGATTTAGTTGGCAGAAGTCTAGTAGTTGTCTCCAAGAAAAGATCTGATGGAAGAATCAAATCATGTCGTATCCATGATCTCTTGCGTGATTTTTGCTTGACAAAAGCGCAGGAAGAGAATTTTCTCCACCAGATTTTCAGGTATAAACAAACTTCTTCTTCAAGTCTTGACACAAATAAGCTACTGCGCTTATGTACCAATTCTCACCTTGATGATTATATTGGTATAAAGCATCATGCTCTATACGTTAGGTCTTTCTTGTTCCTCGACCGTTCATTTCATGACTTCTCTAAGAAGATGGATGTGTCATTTATTTGTCGAAACTTAAAACTTCTTCGGGTTTTGAATTTATCATCCTTCAGTGTCCACTACTTTCCTAGAGAAATACAATTGCTAATTCACTTGAGATATTTGGCACTTCACTATGCTAGCCATGGAAATTTCAATTCATCTATATCCAACCTCTGGAACCTAGAAACTTATATTGTTGGGGGATCTGGAGGTCATGTCTCTTTACCAGATAATATGTGGAAGACGGTGAAGTTGAGGCATTTGTATACTAAGCATCTTTTTAAACTCCCTCAGGCAATCAATCTCCACTCTCACTCGGCATTATATAACCTACAAACCATAGGCAACTTAGATCTTAGATCTAGAAACAAACTAGTCTTGGCATTGATGCCCAATCTTAGAAAAGTGAAGTGTGTGTCTGATGATTTTCCTAAATTGGACTTCCTAATTAATCTTGAAGCATTGCAAGTTAGTTACAATGGGGTCAAAAGAAATGGAAAGCTTCCTCAAACAAGTTGGTTCCCCCCCAATCTTAAGAACCTGACTTTGTCATCCTTTCGTTTACCTTGGGAGGAAGTATGGACCCTTACAAGGTTACCCAACCTTGAGGTTCTCAAATTATCACATGAGGCCTTCGAAGGATCAACGTGGGATTCAAATGATAGTGAGTTTCGCACATTAAGATTTCTGAAATTACGGGGCCTGGACATTGAGCAGTGGAACGCCTGCAGTAATCACTTTCCCCAACTTCAGCGGTTGGTGTTGGATTGTTGTAAACAACTCAAAGAGATCCCTAGTGGTTTAGGGGATGTACCTACATTGGAGATGATTCAGCTGCAATATTGTAGCAGCTCTGCTGAAACCTCTGCCAGACAAATTCAAGAAGAACAAGAGAGTTTGGGCAATGACGGGCTTAAGATCTTTGTTCAGAGTTGGCGCCAGCCGCGCCACAACTAGATGATCTTTAATTTGAGGATGAGGTACATATTATATAGCATACAGACTCATTTGATTAATGTTTTTCTACCATTTCCAACTCTGCTGCTGCTTCTTCTTCTTCTTACTGTATTTTTTCTAGCATTTACAATAGTAATAGTTAAGTAAACTAATACTGTTGTATTTCTAATTAATCTCTAATTTTTTATGTATTTTATCTCTTAATCATGCCTTTTACGGACTACTAGATCAGGAAAAAAACAAATAAAAATAGAGAGTTTTGCAGCATAAAGAATACATTGTCAATGGGCATTTGGATGTTCTACTAAAATCTGAATGATTTGTGTTATATCTACTCGGCTGATGTTTTGAAAAACTAACCTAGTAAATTGACTTGTGTATGATTTTTAGTGTATAACTTCTTTTGAAAACTTCATTATGATAGATTTCCTCTCCATAGTTGAGTTCATAATCTAGTAAGTTCTTGAATGTGATGTATACAACAGTTTTGCTGCTTTTGCATGAATATATTTACCTTCATCTGTGATTTTGTATGACATGTTGCACGTCTCATATTTTGGTGTGCATCCATGTTCAAACAATCATAACAGTTATGTGAGAAGTTGATATAAGATTAACCCTAGGGCGGTGATTAAGAAGGTATAGGTCTTGGATTCAATTCCCCTCTATTGAGACTAGACTACACAAAGTTTCTCCCAAGATTAAAATTGGCACGCAGTATTGACTCAAAGCAGCTATTTGATTATAAATTCTCATAAATATATATGAATGCAAGCATCCTTTAGTTTTGTTTTAGAGCAGAATTAACTGATACAAGATACATATCTACAAAAATTTCAATAGAGAGCTTATCTGCCCCTTAACCCAAAAAGAAATACCTTATTGCTAGATATGTCTTAAATTTGCCCCTCAATCCAACTTTGAATACGCTCAGTAATGACTTTATTTTGGCTGGTTAGAACATGAATCATCATCATCATCCTTGCCTTTATAGATTGGGTCTTCCACATAATTTTGGGTCTTCCACATGAATTATCTTTTTCAATTCTTTCTTATTACATACCACTTCTTCTCTTATATTTAATTTTCAAAATTCATTTTTATTAATTCATCCCATGTAAGTTTTGGTTGGCCTCTAGTTTTCCTCTTTTAAGAGGTGTATTATCGGGTCTACTTTGAATATGGCCATACCACCTAAGCCTACTTTACCCAATTTTATCATTTGTAGGTGGTAAACTTAGTGTTCCCCTCACACATTCATTAAAGATCCCATCTCTTCCAATTACTACTATCATCCAATGGAGCATACTCATTTCCGTTATATGAATGCGTTGTTCTTGCGTCTTTTTTAACCTCCAACACCCGCTCCATTTAATATAGCTAGTCTAACAACTGTTCTATAGAATTTTCCTTTTAATTTATTTGGTATGCTTTTCTCACAAAGGATACAACTAACTTGCCTCCATTTTGTCCGCCCTGCTCCAATCGTACTTACTACATCTCCAGACATAATATATGTAATGCAAATTTGATAACGTAACAAATAATGACAATATAGGCATTACAATTCAAGAACAATTAAAGTGTTACACAATTTTTTTTTTTTTTTTTTTTGTTACTTAGGATCATGGTTGGTACAAAAGCAACCGATTAATGAAAGGAAGGATTTGCCTTTAAGAGTAAAAATAGCCCAATTTAAAAGGTCAGACAAGTGAAAATGAGGCCATTGAATAGAGCCTTTAGCAGAGAAAAACACCATATTCTATAGGGAAAGAGAAAATGAAATATAAATGGATAGAAACCATTTCTATTCCCTATCTTCTCTCTACAAAAAACACAGCTTATATTTAATAATTAACCCCATTTCAGCCATTCTATGTTGAGTTCTAATCAGTCTATCTCGAATGACTAGCCAAAGAAAGAAAGAGTGCTTAGGAATATGTTTAGGGAACCAACCAATACAATACCAGGCCATTCTATTTTGATGGACGGATTATCCTACGCTGAGCTAATTGTAGAAGGCCAATGCCACTGCCCCTCTCTAAAGACATCAGCAACCTTAGCTGCTTTCCGTAGACCATCTTCAAATCTGCACCACTGTAAAGAAATTGAACCACCGGTAAACCATCTTCAGGATGTAAAGATCATAAATATTTGGCCAGAATTTAAAATTCGCCATTCTAATTAACACAATTGCATACTGAGCAAATGAAGAACACAAACATTCTGAACTAAAGGAGAAGCATAATCCTAGGATCCCCTTCGTGTGTTACAATTTCCTATTATGCTCAAACAAAAATGCTGACAGGAGTAACAATAGAAGGCAATCAAACTTTAATTATCCAATATTAAACCTGATCTGCTAAGAAACTAATTTCATCAAGAAATAACAGCAATAAATCTGATGCATACATCACACCGCCATGTTGCAGATAAACAAAAACAAGTAAATACTCGAGCTGGTGCACGTCAAGCAGCTGAGTAAGATCATTAATAAAAGAATTCCAATCCAGAACATATAAGGCCAGCTCAACAGGAAACTCTGATTAGCATCACAAATTTGCATTACTACCGAAATTTTGATGTGTAAACCATCTTCTGCATGTAAGATCAGAAAAAAAAAAAAAAAAAAACTAAAGGTATATGGCTATAGTCCGAAGACCACCATTCCAATTCACAAACTTGCAGACACAGCAAAAACCGGGAGCAAATGAGAGTGGAATACCAGTAGATCAGCCATGAAAAGGATTTTGGTGGCATAGAGCATTTAGAAATGCCTCATTCTCTGCACACCCACCTGTCAGAGGGGGACCTATCAACAACTTCTACAATGTCATTTTGACTAGTAATAGCATCCTTATATTCATTGGTATAGAAACTGCTATTTCTTTCCCTCCATATCACTTAAATGGTTGCTGCAAAAGTAATCGAGTAAGGGAAGAAAGGATTTGCCTTTTAAGAGTCAAAATAGCCCAATTTCAAAGGTCAGATCAGTGAAAATGAGGCCATTGAATAGTACCTTTAGCAGAGAAAAACACCATTCTATAGGTGAAAGAGCAATCAAAATAGAAATGGCCGGCATCTATCCTCCACCTTCTTTCTACAAAAAAACACAGGTTATATATGTAATCAACCCCATTTTAGCCACTCCATGTTGAATACTAATCAGTCTATCTTGAATGGCCAGCGATAGAAAGAAAGCAAGCTTAGGAATATGCTTAAGGAACAAAACAATATCATACCAGCCCACCCTGTTTTGATGGACCCTGCACTTATCCCAGGCTGAGATGATCGTAGAAGGACCATCAGAAGGGCCCCACATTAATCCATCTTCTAGAGCTATGTTAAGATGTTCAGCGCATCTCCTGAGTTGCATTAGCTCTAAAGAGTTGGAAGAAAGCCAATGCCACTCTGATTCGTTTGAGCCCGTGTACATGGTTGACTAAGTGAAAATTACTAATTGTGAACCTATAGGTTAACTAATATTTAGCAGTTTTAGGTAGAGGAAATGGTTGTGTAGTGGTTGTGTGCAATTGATTAATGACATATTAATTATTTATCATGAAGATGGGGTTACAAATTTAATATTGAATTACATCCATAGCTAAATTTACTAATCAACAGCTTTGTTATTTTACAGGTACTTGATGAGGCATGTGGCAGAGGCATGTGCAAGCTAAGTTGTCATTTTTATATATTTTTTAATAGTTTATATTTTACTTGCAGTAAGAATTGTTTTGTAGTAGTTATGGAGCTGGATTTTATGTTTTTGATAGTATGGATGATGTTGACTAGTTATTATGGATTTAATTGTAGACTTTATTTAATAGAATTTACCTATTATTTGGGGCCTTGGTAGTAAATGCAACGGATGTGGTTATTTGATTATGTTTCTAGTTAATGCACCAAGTTTGGATATGGGACAAAATGCACCAATATGTGAATTTGGGAGCATGACCTTGCCACTATATACATACATACAAACACACATATATATATCCTTTGGATACTGTTGGAGGAATTCTAATTGATGTGGTTTGAGGAAAGGATCAGAGTTGTTAATGCTACTGATTTCCATATTACCATGGACATCTTGATGAATCAAAGAAGAAAGATTGTTGGGTGCAACTTTAATATTTCTATCAGATGCAATTCACTGAACACAAGGTATTATGTGATGGAATATTATACTCCATGAACAGCATATGAAAAATAAAATAAGTTAAATATGGAACATATAATATCTCACAAGAAACAATATGGTTCTTGAAACGAAACTCATTACATAAAATTAAATAAGAAAAATAAACAATATAACTCATGACATAAAATTAAATAAGAAACATAAACAAAAGTTCAAATCTCTTGTCTACTTGTCGTCCTTCCATTCATTAGAACATGTTAGCTGTTGAGTTTTCTCTTCAAACGACACTCCATTCATATGATGTTTCAAACTTTGTGTTCAAGCTTTGGAAATCAGTGTGTAGAACTAAAGAGCAAGGAGGGAATGTGGAACAAAGTGGCTATGATTAGACATGTTTGGGAGCTTAACAACAGCAAATCATCTAGTCCCGGGGGTTCACATTGTAGTATTGTACACCAAAAAATAGGAAACATATATTAAATTCTACTAGGAATGAGAAAATTCAGGGGGCACTTTCCATACTATTTAATATACAATTGAATATATTTATTAGTTTTAATAAAATGTTCCTAACACTTAAAACTTTGTTCCCTACACATTCTAACAATGTAGTCAGCTACACTAGACCACCCTAGTTCATAAACTTCCAAGCCTATATTTGAATACAAATATCATTAAGCTTTTTTTTTTTTTTTTAAAGAAAATTCCTCTTAACTTCAGCTTTGTAAAACCAACCACTTCAAAGGTCACAATAAACCTATTCCGAATAAGTGTGTGTAAAAATCTATCATGTGAAAGTCAAACAGGAAAAATGTTGGAGCAGACAACAGATTTATCCATATATATATAACATGCATATGTATATGTATCAATCAGAGTATACTCCACTGTTAGTTTTCATTGCAACAACACAATTTTGGGAAGCATTGTGGAAATTGTTTTGTATTGGTATAACACAAATGTAGTGACAATAATCACGATTTGTGCTAACCTTCGTATTAATCACAATTTATTAAGTCAATAACAACCGACATGGATTAGGGTTCAAAAAATATACACGCATTTCATCAAAAACTAGGTATTTTCATTTTGAAAAACTGCAATTTTAATTTGATAATAATAATAATAATAAAGGAATGATTGCAAACAAATTAACAAAATAGTGAGAGATGACACAAATTAATGATCAGAAGTGATTTGAAGTTTTTTCTTAGGTACTTGGGGATTTTAAATGCAAACAAAAATTTCAGAAGGAGCTCATTTAAAAATAAAGCCAGGAAGCGTATTTAAAATAATTGACACAACACTCATGTAAAAAATCAATTTTTCATAATAACCACCACCATCATCATTAGACAAAAAGTTTTCTAGCTTGCAAATCCATGAAATATGAAGCAAATATATTTACCCAAAAAAAAAAAAAAAGTGAAGCAAATAATATAAAATCCAAATATTACCTGTTCTTCAGCACTAAGTCTTCAATTCCAATCTTCTTTCATGTAACAATCTTTCTGTACGCTTTGAGTGCACATTACAAAAACAACTCTGCTTTGCTGTGTTTCTTTTCAGCAGGTAAAGTAGAGAGGACGTACACCAAAGGGAGACATTTTTAGACAATTGGTCCCGATAATTACTATTGAACTCGTAAAAAAGTTTTAAAATAAATAAATAATAGCAATAAGTTTTCTAATGAAAAGAGATTTATATACCTTTAATGGATTGTTATGACATCTATGTCTATACATACAATGGCAGATTTATACATACCTATAATGGATTGTTATGACATCTGTGTTTATGAGTCGATTTGAGTTTCAGTTCTATATTTATTGTGGAGACCATTATTTTTCAAGCCATGGTTGTGTTAGGCTTTGTTTGGTACAGTGAGTTTGAAGGGAAAGGATAATATTAGTTATGAGGGAAAGGGAAAGGGAAGGGAAGGAAAATGAAGGATAATTTTAAATTTTCATTGCGTTTGGTTGATTAATGAAGGAAAAGAAAGGAAAGGACAATAATTGTGTTTGGGAAAAGAAAGGAAAAGAAATGGAAGGGAATTATTTTAACATATGGACTATTATACCCCTTTATATTTATATTATATATATATATATATATATATATATATATATATAGTTTCATGTACTTGCCAAAAAAAAATAATAATAATAAATAAATAAATAAATAAAAATTAGGGCAAATCATTTCAGCCTCCCTAATCCTCCATCTCTATTATATATATATATATATATATATATATATATATATATATAAAGTCTTTAACTTGAGGCCATAAGAAAAGAAAAATAAAAAAATAGGGCAAAGCCTCCCCAATCTCGCTCCATCTCTGCAACTCCTTCTCAACACTGAACTTGGCCTCTCTCTCTCTCTCTCTCTCTCTACAAGAATCAGAAATTCAAAACCCATATATTTCCAGTTTATCTATCTGTTTGCAAGAATCAAAAGTTCAAACCCGTATCGATGTATCATTTCAGATTGTTCAAAAAATCCAAAACCCATATCCTTCAGTTTCCATGGCTGCTGTTCCAGTTCGGGTCGCCGTTCCAAGCTTCAATCACCGGCGGTCTCTCTCTCTCTCTCTGCAATCTTGAGGGTAAAATTAGCATCTGAAATCACCCATCAAGCCTCTCCTTCCCTTTCCCTTCATTTCCTCCCATTTTTGGGAGGTTAAGAAATCTACTGTTGAAGGCACAAGCTAACCCTCCAAACCCTTCCCTTCACTTCCCTTTCCTTCCAACAATTTTTGCCAAACACACATTTTTAATCCCCCTCCATCACCTTCCCTTCCCTTTCCTCCCTTTTCTACTCTACCAAACTGACCCTTAGGCTTTGTTGGGAGAAAAGAAAGGAAAGGATTACAAGAGAAAAGAAAAGAAAAGAAAATAAAGGAAAGAATTATATGAGAAAAGAAAAGAAAAGAAAATAAATGAAAGGATTATAAGGGAAAAGAAAATAAAGGAAATGAAAAGATAATTATAATTTATTTTTATGTTTGGATAGATATGAGAGAAAAGAAAGGAATTGGTAATATTATTGTTTGGATAGTACAAAGGAGAGGGAAAGGATAATAATAAAATTACCATCTTACCCTTTTGATAGGGGTTAGTAGGGCAAAATCATTTCAGCCTCTCATCGCCTCCATCTCTGATCCTCTCTATCTCTCTCCCCAACAGCATATTCCACTTCTTTATGCCGGCGCTAAGAATGATAGACTCTCTTGTCTCTGTTAAGAAACTATAGGTTCCAAGTTCAACAACCTCTCTTTTTCACTGATCTTGTTACACGAAAATGACTCACTCGGATTCCACTTTAGCTTATTGACTTCAATCATTTTCTTGCAAGAAGATCAGCTCAAAATCCGTACCGTATCGATTTAAAACGAAAGGGTCCGATATGGATTTCCTTGGTAGAATATTCCGAAGGGGATGTCTAATACAAAATCTTCCTATTAGTTTGATTATTGGCATATCATTTCAGATTGGTCCAAAAATCAAAACCCATATATTTCAAGCTTGCCCCCCTCTCTCTGCAACTGCGCAACTCTCTCTCTCTTTCTCTCTCTGCAACTGCAAACTACATATATATATATATATATATATATATATATATATATTTCATCCTCCCCAAATCAAAGCTTTAGCCAGCTGTCTCTCAACTATCTTGCCTTTCTCTGTAATTTGCTCCATTTCTCTCCAAATCCCTCCAAATCTTGTTAATTTTGAAGGGATTCTAAATGAGGGATTTGGAAGGATTGCTATCCCTCCAAATCTCTCCAAATCATTTCTTTTCTCTCCTATTCCTCCCATCGAAACACACTCATCACTATCCTTCCCTTTCTTTTCTCCCCAAATCCCTCCAAATCCCTCAATCCAAACGAAGCCTTAAGGTTTCACACATATAATTGAAAAATATAATAGATAAAAAAAAAAAAAAAAAAAAAAAACCGTGGTTTGGCAAATTGCTTAGTCCACGGGCGCAAAATGACTAACTTTGCTTCAAAAACTTGATTACACACAATTCTCTCTCACAATTTCAACTCTCTTTTTCTCTCTACAATTTTCTCTCTTACACCCATATCTATTTATAAAGTTGTCAAACTCAAATCCTTGTTGGATAAGGATTAATTTGCCTACAAGCAGTTACTATATTAATCTCCAACACCTACAAAGAGTTACCATATAGTTTCCAAACTAATAGATGTATAACCTCTTCCCCAAATCATTCGTTTTTATAGTTTCTAAACTAATAGATATACAAACTCTTCCCCAAATCTTTCGTTTTTTTTCAGCCTTCCAACCAATTAGGAAATTGTTTGTCGCAGTTTCCAATAACTTGTGGTCCAAGTTGAACCGGTTTAACTTTGGCAGTAGCCAAAGTCTACAAGTTTGAACACCCTAATTATTCACGTAATAAACTCGTGATCAAAATATGTCTTCACGTATGTGCTCTACCTTGAACAAGGATCTTTTCATAGTTTTACCTTAACTAAATATTTCTCCACCACAAATAAAGCACTATGATGAAATTGAGAACACTCTAACAATCTCCACATTTTCTCAATTTCATCATTCTTCTTCTTGTCGTTCTTCGCCGCACCACTATACTCATCTATTTTTAGCAAATTCCAAGTTCAAATAATTACACTTGGAATCTACTCCGATGCTCTTGCAATTTTCAAGACTTCTTTCTTCTCTTGTTGTTCTTAATTATTTATTCTAGTGGATCTCGAAACAGGCTTCCATTCCGTATTTACAATTGCTCCACCTAGCATAGTACTTCCTAACAGAATATAGAGATTGTTACAGAATATAGAGATTGTTGACCTTCCTTCCCAAAAGCATGACACATTGCCCTCTTCTAATCTTCATTAATCCATTTTTCATTCACACCAACAACCTTTGGAATCCAATTGCTCCCACAGAAATCACATTCCTTTTAACACTTGGAATATGTTGCACATTCGTTAGAGTTCTTACAAAATCATTCATTGTCTTGATTTTAATTGTTCTAATTTTCATAATATCGCAAGATGCATTATTCCCCCACTACAACATATTAGATTTTTACCAAGGCTTTTTAGAAGAACGCTGGTATAAGTGCAATATTACCATAGGAACGCTGGTATAAGTGCAATATTACCATAGGTGGAAGTATCAATGCTCTTTTAAAGAGCGTTGGTATAGGTCTAATAGTACCAGCATTTTTTTTTTTAAGAGCGCTCCATTCCCTCCATTATTTCCCCCGCTGATTTATATACATTTGACTATTTGGGCGCTAAACTATGTCGTTTATTTTGGGGCAATTAACACTGTAAAACACTTTCGCATTTCATTTAGCCCTAACGCTCTCTCTGCTTCAGCCGCTCTCTCTCCTTCCATCACCGGTCTCGCCCGATATTTGAATCCGTTTTGTTTTCCATCACAGCTCTCTCTCCTTCCATCACCGGTCATCACAGTTCTCTCTCTTTCCATCAGTTTTGTTGTATTCAGCTCTCTCATTCGGAATATGGATATGTAGGCGATTGTTGGCGACGACAGGTTTCTCGTGGCAGGTAATAACTCTAATTATCTCTCTCTGGCCCTTTCACTATTTCAATATACTATTTCTCTTATCTAATTGCAAGCCTTAATCTCTGTCTAATCCATCAAATGTACCAAGCCCTAACCTCTCTCTTTCCCTTTCTCTGATTCAAGAAAACCTAACCGGCCTCTTTCTTTCCGTTTCTCCCTCTTGCCTTTTCTATGATCGAAGAAAACCCTATAACCTCTCGCTTTATAAATTCACAAAACACAGACATTTTATATTATTTATAAAGTTTGACCTATGCAATGTTTGCTTTATGGAAATCTGTACAATGCAGACCAGAGCAAAAAGGGCCAATCAATTGGTAACAATAAGGTATGTTTGTTAACATGAAGTTCATATATTCTATTATTATTATTATTATTATTATTATTTTTATTCACATTTTACTGGTTTTGCATCTCAGTTATTTACTTGGAGGAATAAACAAGAGCATTAAATGTATAGATGTAGTTATATACATACGTATTTGTGGCTTCATACTTGAGAAGAGGGATTCTAAAAACTGTTATAGCTTGCAAAAGGCTATCTTTTTAATTTGCAATGTGTACTTTTAACAGGACTGACTTTGTGTATGCTAATTTGATTGTTGGTTTATGGCATTTCTTTCCAAAGGAAAGTTGGAAATGAAGGCATATATAAGATATTTAATTACTTGTTTATAACCAGAAAAGTAGTGTCTACTTATGTATGTTGGAAAAGTAGAGAGGATCAGCATTGATGAGTGGTAGTTGGGACTGTTAGAGTAAGCCCCAACTCCATTCCAAAAGCAAAAAGGAGTGTCTAGTAGTAGTTGTGATTTCTGCACAGTAAAGACACCGTTGACGTTGACGTTTCCAGTTAGCCAAAAAACTAAGAAACTGCGCTCAAAGGGAACATTTTAAGAATGATGTAGTATCAGCATTGTCATTTGATTACATATTTTAAGAATGAATGCATGTCAAAATGCCTGAAATTTTAGAGTTTGGTTCTTTTTTGTGTTATAGAAGGCCAAAGTATAATGATTTGACATTGTTTATCTTGTTATACACCCCCCTGCTTGCAGCTCCAGGACAGTGCTATATCGAACTTTGATCACTATATA